GGATCTGACCAGGCTGGAGAGGGACAGAGCCTGCACATCACACGCTGGGCTTTATGCAGGTCCCTGCATCCAGTTGGAGGAGCTGACACTCCCCGTGGCAAAGTGACTCACATCATGACTTAACCAGTATTAGCCTCTCTCTATGCAGCAGCCACGAATCAGGAAGCCTGGTGAAAGGCAAAAGTTAAATTTAACTGACTTTGGCTCCAGGATGAATTTTCACCCCTCTGTTGCTTGGCTCCTTATTTTTTTAGCATCAGAAAACAGAAACAACTGATTATACATTCTCGACCATCTCTGTCCAGCAAGCATCGTTCCCCAAAGGCCAGTGAGAGTTCCTTTTCAATTACACAAATTACATGCATTTTCCCATTTGCAAAACTCTGCTTCAGAGCCCAACTCTGAATAAGTTAAGGGATTCATCAAATCCCTTGAGTGACTGCAGACCCACTCATCCAGACCTCCACCTTCTCTGCAAAGCAAGCTCAGCCTCCTGAGGTGGAGAGGGAGTGGGGAGATCCCCGGAGTGTGGTCCATAATAAATGGGGCTGCACTCCCCAAGAGTGTGGGGAGGCACAAATCAGGCTCCGGGGCTACTCCCCGCTGGGATCCAGACCTCTGTTCCCACAAGCCCTCTGGCTGGCTCCGTACTTGGCTCTCCCGCACTCATCCTGCGGTTCTGCTTCTCTGGTCCCTGGAGCTCTCCAAACTGATGGGCACCACCCAGACCCCACCTGCTCAGTGTCCCAAACCGTGCACAGATGGAGCCCCTGACCTGGCTAGCGTCTGGCAGCAGATACCTAGAGCAGCAGTGGCTGCGTGAGAACCACCCTAGGAGCCCATCACGATGCAGAGGGATTCTGTTGAGATGGAGGCAAGAATCTGCCTTTTCTCCCAAGTTCTCCACCTCCCCGTGGTCAACTCCACATTGTGGGAAACCTGGCCATGGAGGGTTTCAGGCTTCCCAGCCTATTCCCTGTGCTTAGTTCAAATTCAGCACTAAAGTAAGTACCTACTGTGCACTGGGCACTACACTAGGCACTGGGAACTAGGAGATGAAGAAGATGGGGGTCTCTGTCCCCAAGAAGCTTACAGTCTAGGAGGGAAGACCAGGATATACCAACAACTATTTTCCACAAAATGTAATTCATTTAACAACAGAATACCAGAAGCGATATAGAAGTGAGGTAGAGCCATGCTTCTCAATCTTCTTTTCATGACTATTCTCCTAAGAAGCCTTTGTGGGCATTTTTTCTAATCCCATCCCACTCATGAAATTTTAATATCACAGATACACTATATGTTTATGTACAGTACATATATCTGTGCTTTATATATAAAAAAAAGAATAAGATTTATTGCCCCCTCCCCACAAGAACCAATTTTTACCCCCTCAGGGGAGATGGCTCCCATTGGGAAGGCATTATTTAGGAAGGGACAATTCATTTACTTTTGGGATGAGAGACACAGAAGGAAAAGGGATCAGGGAAGGCATCACAGAGGAAGTAGTAGCTATCAAGGGTTTTGAAGGATGAACAGGAGTTCTGTGAAAGAGAGAAGGGACTCAGTCTCCCTTGCTGGGCAACCTGAACCTCTGCCTTCCTCCCAGTTGTTAGTGCCTATGGTAGTCCGTCTCCCAGATGGTCCCAGTGATCCTCACATCCCACCATCGCTTGCGTAGTCCTCTCCCACACTAAATGAGAGCTAAGCTATATAATAAATAGAACACAGCATAAAGAACAGGGAGCAACTTGGGAAGCGAGGCCTGAAAAAACTTTGCACCTCTGCCTTGTTCTCCTAAATGACTTGCATTGGAGGAAGTCAGCCTCCAGGCCATGAGGACACTCCAGCAGCCCTACAGAGAGACCCACATGGAGAGGCACCCACTTGCCAGCCATGTGAGGCCACAACCTTGAGAGCAGATCCTCCAGCCCCACTCAAGCCTTCAGATGATCTCAGCCCCTATCCCTCAGTCTTTCAGCTGGACCCCAAATGCCATGGAGCAGACACAACCCATTCTGTGGGTCTGAATTCCTGATCCCCAGAAATAAGGAAATAATAAATGACTATTGTTTTAAGCCACTAAATTTCAGGGTCATTTGTTACACAGCGATAAATAACTAATATAACCCCCATCTCATGACCCAGTTTCCTTTCTTGTCAACTCCTCTGTGCTGGAGGTCCGTTTTGCTCATGGTAAGGCCGTGGAACTCTGGCTGGCAAGCCAGGAGTCTCCAACCTTGTGCCTGCTCCTGCAGCCCCTCGGAGGTTACAGGTGAGGCTGTGAAAAGGTCCAGGGGCTGCTTGGGTCCCTCGCTGGGTGGGGATTTTCTGGGCAGCTTGGCCTCTCATGTCTGGACAAAATGTCCATGTGCAGATCCTTCCATCCCTCCGTCCCATCCTCCCTCCCTCCATCCCCCAATCATTCAGCAGGCACCTAGTAAGGTCTGTGAAGTGTTAGGTACCAGGAAACACAGGAGTAACTCAAGCCCAGGTTCTGTCCTCAGGGAGCGCATGTCCAGCCAACCATGCCCCCACACCTGCAAAGCCCTAAGAGAGGGACAGGCTCTGGCAGAACTAAACAGTGGGAAGTGAGAAAAAGAATTTCTAGAGGGGCTACTTTAGATAGCACAGTAAGAAAAGGCTTCCTGGAAGAGGCAGGATTCAAGCTGGGTGTCTAAGAATGGGTAGCACTTGACACACTGGACCTGGGGAGACTGGGAGGTTTTGGATGGTGGGAACAGTATTGCAGGAAAGGCTGGGAGTGCTAAGTAATCAGGGTGTTTGGGGAGGAGCAGGAGGCAGGGCACAGGTGACAGCAACACTAGAACGAGGAGCACAGTGCCTGGGATGTGCTTGGGACCGTTCTCTTCACTTTTTAATCATTAATCCATACAGCAGTCCTGTAATCAGTGCTCTTATTACCCTGATTTTACAGGTGAAGGACTGAGGCTCAGAGGGCAGCACCTGGCCCTGAGGACCAGGGAGAGTGGTGTGCTCCTCAGTTTTCAGGAAAGACAGTGAAGCACAGAATATCTAAGTGACTCGACCAAGGTCTCACAGCTGTTTGTGGGCCCTACAGGGCTCCAAACCAGCCTCCCATGGCACACTGAGCTGAGCTGACTCCCAGGTCTATGGTTAGGTTTGCACCATAGCAGGCTGAGCTGCTTTTCTGGCTCATCTCCCATTGTATCTGCCCACAGTCAGCGTGGCCTGCTCTGGCCACAGCAAATGACTCACGCTCCCCGAGCCCACACACTTTCCCACCTCTTGCTTTTGCACGCCCAGTTTCCCCTGCCAGCAGCACTCTCCTCCATGTCTCCAGCTGTCCAACACCCTCTCCTCCTTTGCAGCCAGCTCTGCATCACCTCCCCTGAGAAGCCTTCCTTGACCCCGGGCTGTGTGAGTGGCCCTCCCCTGGAACCCCACTCCACCCTTATCACTTCTTCACCATGGCCAACTCCCACTTGCCCTGTGGGCCATGAGCCTAGGGCCCTACCCTCAGCCCCAACGCATATGAGCCTGGCTCACAGAAGCCCTGGTCAGTGGAGGGGGAGTGGAATCAGACCCCTGCAGTCTGGTTCCCAGTTGGTCCTCGCTGCCATTTTCATCACTTCACCCACTATACTCCAGCCCTATGACCTCTTTTATGTTTCCTGAACTGCCAGGTTCTTCCCAGCATAGGCACCTGCATTTGCTATTCCATCTACCCAGCCAGCTACTTTGCACTCTTCAGGTCTCAGCTGAAATATCAGCTCCTCCAAGAGGCCTTTCCTGACTGCACCAAGGTAGTCATTATTTACTCCATCACCCTGTTTATATTCATCCCAGCCCAGCTTCCTTACCAAGGGCTGGACTGCCTGAGTTTAAACCTGTCTCATTACCTAGAAGCTGAGGGTACTTGGGCAAATTGCCTAGCCTCTGTGTGCCCCAATTTCCTTATTTATAAAATGGGGATGAGTACTGATAGCATAGGGCAGTTGTGAGGATCAAAAAAGTTAATGCAAACAAGTACCCAGAACAGTGTCTGGTATGTAGTAAAACTGACACCCATATTAGACAAATATTATTAGCTCTCAGTATTATTACTTAATTGTTTACTTGCTTACTGCCTGTCTCTCTCCTAGAATGTAAGCTACACAAGGGTAGGAGACATGTCCAAACATTCTATTCAGCAGTAAATCTGCAGTGTCTACCAAAATTTCAGGCAATAGTAATTTGCCCATTGTATTTCTTGGATTGATGGATGGATGGATGGGTGATGGAGTGATGGATAGATGGATGGATGGATGGATAAAGCAAAGAAGTAAAACATGTGCATGGGCCCTATTCATCCTGGTTGCCATATCTCTCTATATTCTTCTTTCTAGAATTCCAGATAACAGCTAGCACTGATGAGTTTCACCTTCAGCAGACCATATACCCACTGGTGGAGTATTCAATGGTATGTAACATTTGCCACTGTAAAGAGCAAATAACTGGCCAGGAGCCCCAGGAGAAGCTTAGCTAGGGAAAAAGGCAGTCTTAGTGGATAAGAGAATTCCAGCAGAGAGGACAGGTCTGGCAGGGAGTAGAAAAGGGATCATCTGCTTAAGGGAACAGTGGGAGCAGGGCTCTGAGGCCTGAGGTCCAAGGTACATTTGGGAAAAGGTGGGTTGTTTGGAGGGACTGAGGCAAGGAGTGAGTGGCAGGGACAGGAAATGACACTGGACAGGCAGACTGGCCAGACTCTGATGGCCCTGAAAATCAGCTAGGGTGTCACTGAAAGATTTCAAACACACCATGGTGGTGTCAGGCTACCCTTTAGAAATCCACTGTGTCAGCAATGCCCGGACAGGCCAGAGGGTCAGGCCAGGAAGCAGGGGCAGCAGGAGGCTGTGCAACCACCCAGTAGGAAGGCCTGAACTGGGCAACTTAGGAACCATGTTGGGCAAGGAAGCTTCCTGCCAAAGACTTGTGGCCAGAGACAGCCCCCCAACCAAAGGTGGCCCAGGCCTTACCTGCACCAGATTCCAGCCTTGGAGGGACTCTGCGATGATGGATGTAACAGATGGACAGACGCCTCCAAACACCATCAAGTGGTTCGGCCCATATTTTATTGCATCGTAGAAGGCTTTCAACCCTTTCGCATTATCACACTAGGGAGCAACACACAGAAAGAGAAGCCCAAATTAGAAACAACTTTCCCTAGGGACACAGGCCCAACAGTGGATTCACACAAACAAATACTCCTCATGGGAAACCTTTTGGGTCTCAGTTCTCCCTTGGTGGGGCTTCTCTTTAAGCCAGCCCTGAGCGCATGCGGCAAGCCCAGTGAAGCATGGCCCTGGTACCCCCATCCTGGCTCTCCTCCCCCCAGCGCCCTCCCACCTAGGACCTCTGGCTCCCCAGCTATCTCCCTTCAGAGCACATTGAGGAATGGGCCCCAAAATGCCTTGCTGGGGTCTTCGCTTCTACAGTCATTTATATTTTAAAAGAAGATGAATCCATACCATTAGGAAGGCTGTTATCAAAAAAACAGAAAATAACAAGTGTTGATGAGGATGCAGAGATATTAGAATCTTGTTGGTGGAAATATAAAATGGTGCAGCTACAACAGAAAACAGCAGTGCTTCAAAAGTCAAGCAGAATTACTGTCTGATCCAGTAATTCCACTTCTGGGTATATACCCAAAGGAAGTGAAAGCATGGGATGGAAGAGATATTTATACACCCATGCTCATAGCAGCATTATTCACAATAGCCAAATTTCACAACCCAAATTTTGGGTTCACAAACAACCCAAATGCCCATTAGTGGATGAATTGATAAACTGTGGGATATACATACAACGGAGTATTTTTCAGCCTTAAACAGGAAGGAAACTGAGCCCTGCTACAACACGATGAACCTTAAAGACTTTACGTTAAGTGAAACAAGCCAGATGCAAACGGACAAATATCACATGCTTTCACTTCTATGAGGTGCCTGGAGCAGTCAGAGTCACAGAGACGGAAAGTGGAACGATGTATCCTGGGGCTGGGGCTGGGGCTGGGGGTGGGGTGGGGCAGCTGGTGTTTAATAGGTGAGAGTTTCAGCTTGGGATGATGGAAGCATTCTAGAGATGGAGGGTGTGGTGATGGCTACACAACAACGTGAAAGTCCTTAATGCCACTGAAGTGTACACCTAAAAATAGTTCAAATGGTACATTTTATGTTATGGATATTTATCACAAAAAAAAGAAGAGGAGGAGGAGGAAGAAGAGGAGGGGAGGAAGGGGAAAGAGAAAGGGGTGTTAAAGGGAAGAACTGGCTCAGCCAGCACTTGCCAAGCCGGCTCTGTGTTCAGCCCAGAGCTGGCTGCTGAGGAAGCATAGAAGGCGGACCCAGCCCCTGCCGAGGACTCAATACTGGAGAGGAAAACTGCCCACCGAGGCAGACCCTAGCAATCCACTACGGAGGTGAGCAAGGACGAATGTCCACGAGTGTCCAAAGTCAGTCACAACCCACTTCCCACCTCTTCACCTCTTGGGGCTCTCGTTCTAACCATGTGGTCCTCTTGGACAGAGGCACTGGCTGCTAAGTGGGCTTTTTGCTTCCCTGGAAGCCCAGTTAAGCCTGTTCACCACCTAGCAATCTGAGGGCCCCTTGTAAACATAAATTAGTCAGTCCTTCCTCTCCAGCTTTCTACACTCTTAAAATCCAAACTCCTATCAGAATATAATTCTCAAAAGGTTAAAAACAGAATTCTCATGAAAATTGATAGTGGGCACATGTCAGTCTTTTTTTTAACTCATTAATAAGGAGATATGCAGGAAGACAAAATGGATTGAAAAGAGAATATGAGGGACAGAGATTTTTATAGCAAATGGAAAAATAAGAAATAAAATAAGATTGATAAATTTGATACCAAATTGGTTAATGTCCAGCAAGGCACTAAAACTATAACCTTTGGAGAAAGAAAAGAAAAACACTGAAGACCAGCACATCTTGTCCATTTTGGAGATTTTAAGATGTCTGGCCTTAAGCCAGGTGACCCTTATGCAGGGCTGTTTGAAAGTGCTCTAAGTGTTAGGCTAACTGGTTATACAATAACTACTTTGCATTCTTTATATGTTTATAACATTCTTAATCCTCCCTATCATAATGGACACAAGAAGCCACAAGACCAGCCCTGCTCCCACTCAGACCTTATTCCCTTCTACTTTCACCAGGTACAAGCTCACCAGCCTCTTTTTTGTTCCTTGAAATGGAAAGCAATTTCTTTCCTGCCTCTGGGCCTTTGCACTTGCTGTTTTCTTTGCCAGGAACAACATGACTCACTCCTTCTCATCATTCAGGTCTCAGCATACCTATTACCTCTTCAGAGAAGTTGTCACTGTTCCCTACCCAAAGTGTTCCCCACCCCTATTCTCTAACATGCCACCCTATTTATTGCCTTAACATCATTCTTAAAATTATTTGAAATCATGTTGTCTATTTTGTATTTGCCTGCATATGGCTGACCTCTCCACCAGAATGTAAGCCACCTAAGGGCAAGGATTCCTGTCTCTGTGTTCACTGCTCTCTCCCCGAGGTTATGCCTCAGCCTCAGTAAGGACTCTGAAAGAATCCGCTGGAGCCTGCACGAGTCCACCGGCCTTCTCCCTGCACCTGCTTCCTCCCCTCTCTTCCTACTTACATGTCTCTCTGCTTATTTTTGTCTCCCTCTCCATTCTGTGTCCTCCTCTTCTGCTCCCCCCTTCCCTTCCATTAAATGACCACAGTGTGGAATGAGTGTGGGTTCATTTTTACTGCTCCCTCTTCATGTATTTGAGAGACTCTGGAGTATAACCATGGTAGGTACCAGTAGAGATAGAAAAGTAGTCCAGTGTAGTTCCTGGCCTCAGACTGTCACTGTCTGGTAGAGGCAGTGAGACAGCGGTGCAGGTGGCATGTCGCATGGGGGACAGTGCTCAGTGCTGGGGGACAGCCAGGGAGGGCTCTGGGGTCAGGTGCTCAGACTGAGTGAGGACAAAGTGGCCTGGGCTATGGCTAAGGAGGGCTCTGAACGCCAGGTTAGAGAGTCCAGAATGCACCACCAGAGAGTCAGGAAATAATTCCACTTTTAAATTTTAATTTAAAAAATGGCCAACTGAATTTTTTTGCCAAGAAAGCAATAAAGAAAGGAAAAGAAGAGAAAGATGGAAAGAAAGAAGGGATGGAGGGAGGTGAGAAGATGAAGTCCTTATTGCTTCTTGGGCCCTCTATTGTCCCTGTTCTTGACTGAAAGCAAGTTCCCACCCTTAGCAGAGCACAAGCAAATATAACAGAGCAGTTCATGTTTTCATTGTTTCTATCATGATTTATTGAATTAATACATTCCTGTAATGATTTTACCTTGTTTTCTTATCTGTAACTAATGACAATGGTAATACAGTACCTCAAGATTTACAAGTTGCATTAAAATATTAGCATGAATGAACTTATTAATACTTGATTGCTCAGCAAACATTTCCCTAGTACCTAGTCTGTGCAAGATTCTGTATTAGTAATGATATCCTGATTCCTCACAACTTGTGAATATGTCATCTCAAGAATATGAGAATACTTGACAACCAGTATTTGAGCTGGAAGAATCTTCTATTGTTTGCAAATGTTTCTCTGACTCAGTTTTCACCAGACTGGGTGCAGAAGTCAGAATTTTGGCCCCCGTGACCTTTGCTCCTTGGTCTTACTTTCACAAATATGTTGTTTCTTGGCAAAAGGGACTTTGCAGATGTAACTAAGGTTACTAATCAGCTGACTTTGAAGGATTATTCAGGTGGTTCAATGTAATCACACAGGTCCTGAAAAGTAGAATGCTTTTTTGCTGGTTGTAGAGGAGAAATTAGAGTTTCCAAGCATGACATGAATTTGATGTGTCATTGTTGGCTTGAAAATAAATCATGCCACATGTCAAGGAAAAGGAATCCTCAGTGCCATAACTGTAAGGAATGGAACTCTGCCAGCAACCTGAGCGTGGAAGGGAACCTCCAGGTAAGAACCCTGCCCAGCTGACACCTTGGCTGTGGCCTAGTGAAGCCCTGAGCAGGGGACCCAATGGTCATGCAGTACCTGGACTTCTGGTCTATGGACTGTAAGACAACACATGGTTGTGGTGTAAGCCATGACATTTGTGGCAAGCTGTTACAGCAGCAACAGAAAATTAACACAGTGAAGTAAACTGAGAAAAAGTAAGCATACTATAGTGAGGTTTTCCTTAAAATTAAATATACTGCATTTAAAGAACTACCCTTAATTTACAGATTAGATCCTTCATGGTTTGTATAGTGTTGAAATATTTCTCTGTGAAGGAGGGTTTTTAGTGTCCTAAAGCAACAAAATAAAAGTGTGGGTTTTTTTTTTTATGTAAGTTTCTGTTCCATGTTCCCTCCCACCCTGTTCCTTTAGCCTTTTATGGTGTGTGAAATTCAAATGTGTGGGTATCACTAATCTAGCCAGCCCTGCACCCTCCTTTTCTAATGCAGACGCCAACAATTAAAGAGGAGAAGGGACTTGTCCACTTGTCCTACCAGGATTAGGGAAGGATCACGGGATTCCCAGTTCAGAGCTTTCTCAATAATCTGAATCTGGAGAACTCAGCTCAACAGGCCATGGGAAGGTGCCAGCTAGCATTCTTCTAGAATGGACCTTCTTCCCCAGGATAACACAGCAAGCCCAGGCCTCCTCCTGGTCAGCATTCTTGACCTGAGGCAGGAGAAAACACCTACGGGCACCGGGAATTACCTGGCTCCCTAAGGAAAGCACTTTCACAGTGAATAACAAAGAAAAATCACATGGCCATATCTGTCTCAAATTAGATGCTATTCTCCCTCACTGTTATTAATATTCCATCTCCTTGCCTGACATGACTAATGTCCCAAATACACTTTTCCAGCTGACCAAAGCTGAGTCTTCATGGTTAGACCAGCTTGAAGGTTTTCAAACTCAGCCCTGTGGGGGCCTAGGACCTGGCAGAGATGCTTTGAGGCCCGAGATAAGGGCTCTGGGCACTTGACCGTCCCTTCAACCAGCACCTCTCCTTGTATCCGTTCTGTATTCAGCATCAACATTCTATGTATTACTTAATTTGAAAAGAGGATTTGATTGTTGTAGCAAGAAATGTCTGAAACCAAGAA